TTTTTTTTTTTTTTTTTTTTTTTTTTTTTTTTTTTTTTTTTTTTATAAGGTGAAGAAAAATAATTTTATATAACTATATGGATTTTCCCGCCCCCCTACGCTTGTTGCCTCTCTTCTATTTCACAGCTGTCATTGCCAGGGCAGATGGCAAGGACTAAATGTAATTTAGTCAGAATTCATTAAGTATAATTAGGCAATTTGATAGCAATATAAAAGATTAAGATGGTCATCTGAGCTAGAAAGTGTCAAAGGAGGCACCTGTTTGCTTCGTTCAAAAATAATGAAGAAAAAGAGACATCTTTGGTAACAGCAGACCTACTGGCAAAGTAGCATACCTAAAGGAATGCAATTTGCTACCATGTAATAAAATAATGAACTAAACAACATACAGAAAGTCCAAATTACCCAATTACCTAATTAACTGACTACTTTTACCCATCTGAATGAGGTGGCACACCAGACTTTCCTTATCAAAAACCCTAACATTCATAAATGCTACCAATTATGCTTGGGCTATTTTCTGCTATAAAACAAAATGGCACAAAAATATTACATAATAAACAGTATAATTACATTTATTTGGCATATTATACAAGCTAATACAATATGTAATACTTACATAAATTCTGTCTTTACAGTACCGCACTTTGATATTGTGAAGGAGTGTAGCTTCATTTAAGTACATTAGTGAACCTGCAATTTAAAAACCCACACAGATATTTTGACAAATAACCATCTTAGTGTACGATCACTCAACTGAAATTCAGCATTAAGAAGAATTCTGCTTCCCCTCCTCTTTTTTGGCCCATGAGTAGTTTAATCCTGCTGATTCCTTCAAAACCTTTTAAAGGGACACTATCAACTTAAAGAAATATAGTTTGTCTGGAAAATGTCTACCTAAATTTACTGTGACAATATCAAATAATATTATTTTCTTATAACATTTAACAAAGAACATTAGAACATGGAAGTGTCAATCTCTGACTTCACTCCATCAATGATAGCAGCCCCAAACTCCCTCAACAGCTTTTCCCACAAGCACATTCATGCTTTCCTCCATACTGCCCCTTAGACATGGCAACCAACTTCTTGTAAAAATCCATAAAGGCACCAACTTATCCTCCTTCAAATCTTTCTCTGCCATTGTGCATACAGAAAAATGCCAACAGCTAGGTAGTTGAAATTGCTAATCCGTAGCATATCCAAGTGGTGATTTTCAAATGTTCACAACTTGGTCAAATCAGGGTGTATTTTCATGGGGACAACAAAAAGCATCCCTCTGATCCCTGGACAATTGTCTTGGCCATATATATAAAATCCCTGCTCCAAACTCTGTAGGTGCGCAAAGAAACTATTAGAAAAAAAATTTACATTAACAAAACTACCTATTTTTCCTTAACCTCCTTGCTGAAAATGGGCAAACCAATTTTATGGAAAAACTTTAAAAAAACCCATCTTGAGACAGAAAGCAAGCGTAGAAAGTTTCAGCCTGAATGGTTAACGTTTGGCAAAGCTATAAAGAACTGAAAACAATGGAAAGTGTTAGGAAGTCTTAATTCTAGGGCATCAATACCCGCTCCATCTATGTCAACAACAGCATTATCCCTAAAGCTACTCTGTGAACATCTCTTATGTAGAGCTTCCTCAACCTAGGAACTTCCTCTACTCCTGGTCTCTTTAGTTTCCGGTTAGAATTTCAAACACAGAACACACACATCCTTACTTTTCGGTTTCAAACAACACCTCAGACTGCTAAACTTTAAACAATCAGCAACACAAAATAATCTCTATTATTTCAGTTGGTTTCCTTTGAGTGTTTGACAGTACTTTGTTTAGAGTCAAGTTTCACTGTTTTCTTGATGGCCAGTTGTACTTCCTGTCTCATGAGCTCTCTAACTCCTCTACTGATGCATTGCTCATGTGCAAGTGCTCACCACACCCTGCAAGAAGACATTGACCCATAAAATTGAAGAAAGTGACCACTGTTTCTGAATTTGGGCCAGGAAGGACTCTTTTCCAGGGATTCCTGCACAGAAAAACATGTTTTTTCTTCCTCAACTTCCTGAGGCTCAAATAACTCATTCTATTTCCAAACACCAGAAACCAAAAGCTTAGTATAAAATGGTACAAGACCCACTACCAATCAGGACCCTCTCAAGCCTTAACTTTATACAGTTATTCAACACCCCTCTGCAACAAAACCATCCAGTTCTTATTGCTGAAGGTCAACCTTCCCAGCTAATTCAATCCACAGGGACATCAATCCCTTGGGACCCCTGAGGCCAGACAGGCAGCTGGTAACCTCTTCATCCTCCTCCTTCTGCCACAATCAGCAACTACAGTCCAACAGACCTTAGCAGTGGACAATGGGAGCTTGGCAACAGCAGCAGAGCCCTGTCTGCCAATGCCATTCACTCCCTTCAGCAGTGAGCAATGAATCTGCCTCCTACTCAAATGTGCCAGACCAGCTTGCAACAGAAGCAGATTCCCACGGCCGCCCTTTGGTGTGTACAGCTCCAACAAGAAGCAGAGCTTCCCTTTCTGGAATCAATCTAAGAGTAACTTGACTTCACATGTGGACTGCTTAGGAAAGGCATTTTTAGCTATGGGAGGATACGAATAGATACTAGCAGAAGGAAAACTCCTTTCCTACACATCTAAGTCTTCTATGGTAAGGTCAATGAAGGAAATACTTAGGCTTTATCCTGAGCAGATGCTCGCTCTGGTCTGCAAATCCCTCAAATTGTTCCTCATCCTATTTCTCAAACTAATTTCTCTCCTCCTGAGAGGACAGCCTGAGGTGTTCTTACTGAACCAGACAATCGGGTACTTTAATGAGATTTATTTCTCATCCATATGTTCCATCCTACCAAACTCTTTATCCTTTTCCCTTCCAGGAGGATTATACTTGGATGGGGACAGAAAATCAGCCAAATAGGCAACTTCTTTCCACACTCCTGGTGAAGTCTCTTCCTCTTCTGATTTCTCCCAGGAGTATAATTCAGATTCTAACCTTGTGGGAAGAGTTAATTTCTGGAATATGTGGAGATTTATAATCCCATGACTATTAAAAAAGAGACCTCTCAAAATGAAAGAAAATATAGTGGGGAACAATCCTCTCCTATTTCTGCATCTTTAGAAAATACTACCAAGTCAGAAAAAGTTCTTTGAAGGGAAGAAGAGAGCAAGCTTATGAAGATCCTAAGGATAAAGGGTCCACATTTTGTTCTGTCCCTAAAATAAATTAAAATCTCTTCTCCCATCAAAAGGTTGTTGCTTCAGTTGAAGGGGTTATTATTTTTTAAAGTTTGTTTATGAGAAGGTCATGTGATACAAAAGCCTTACTAAAGTAGAAATCTACGATAGCTACTGCTTCCCCCCTATCCACAAGGCTTGTTACCCTGTCAAAGAAACTATAAGGCTGGTTTGACATGACTTGTTCTTGATAAATCCATGCTGACTGTTATTTATCATCTTATTTTCTTTGATTGTTTGATTATTTGTTCCATTATATTTCTGGGTACCTAAATTACTCTGAATGGTACATAATTCCCTGGGTTGTCCTCATTCCACTTTTTATAGATAGGTACTATATTTGCCCTTTTCCAGTTCTCAGGTATCATTCACGTCCTCCACAAGTTCTCAAAGATAATCACTAATGACTCAGAGATCTGTTCAGACAGTTTCTTGCATCAGGCCCTGCCAACCTGAAAACATCTAACTTGTCTAAGTAATTCTTAACTTGTTCTTTTCCTATTTTAAGAGTCTGATCCTACCACATTTCACTGATGTTCTCTATGTTAGTCACCCAGTCATTGCTAACTTTTTTGCTGAAAACTGAAATACAAAAGGCATTTAACATTTTGGCCATTGCTGTGTTTTCTATTGTCTTTCCCTCCTCAATAAGTAATGGGCCTACCTGGTCCCTGGCCTTCCTCTTGCTTCCCATGAATTTGTAAAATGTTTTCATATTACCCTTTATATTTCTACCTACTTTAATCTCATTTTGTGCCTTGGCCTTTTTAATTTTGTCCCTACATGCTTGTTGTTGGGTTTTTTATGTTCATCCTTTGTAATTTGACCTAATTTCCACTTCTTGTAGGACTCTTTTTCGAGTTTCAAGTCATCGAAAATTTCTTGGTTAAGCCAGATTGGCCTCTTACCATATTTCCCATCTTTCTTATGCATTTGGATAGTCTGCTTTTGTGCACTTAATGTCTCTTTAAAAAACTGCAAACTCTCCTGAGCTTTTTTTTCCCCTTAGACTTGCTTCCCATTGGATCTTACCTACCAAATATCTGGCTTTGCTAAAGTCTGCCTCTGTGGAGTTCATTGTCTCTATTCTGCTGTTTTCCTCCTACCATTCCTGAGAATCATGAACTCTATCATTTCATGGTCACTGTCACTCAAGTTCCTCCCGGTTTGTCAGCATCAAATCCAGAATAGCCTCTTCGCTAGTCACTTTCTCTGTCTTCTGTAATAAAAAGTTGTCACCAATGCATTCCAAGAACTTGTTGGATAATCTGTGTCCTGCTGTATTATTTTCCCAACAGATGTCTGGGTAAGTCCCCCATCACCATCAAATCCTCTGTTTTGGAAGATTTCATTAAGTTGTTTAAACAAGGTCTCATCCATCTTTTCTTCCTGGTTAGGTGGTCTACTGTAGAACCCTACAATGATAATCCTCGTTTTTTACCGCTTCTACCCTTACCAGAGACTTTCAACAAGTCTGCCTCCCACAGCTATCTCAACAAGGATGCTTCCTCTTTCTCCTCCACACTGCCTGGGCACAACCAGGGAGGCACTGAAGGCACAGGAGAGAGAATCAGCTCCCAGGATTCATGAGGAGAAATTGTAGGGAAAGTACTGCTCATCCCTTGCAGTCCAGGGATGAAGCATGCTCACTTGCTCTGTGGAGATAGCTCATTGTGCAGTCCAGGCAACAGCTAGGAGATGTGTAAGGATGGAGCATGCTCACTGCAGATGGAATCTTTGGAGAATTTAGTTGCCAGACTCCAACAAGTCTCTACTGAGTATACAAGAGGTCACTATGTCAATGTGGGCAGCCACAAACCATGACACACATTGTTGAAGACTGCAAAATGACTGAACTTCCTAGAGGTATTCGTGCCTTGAACATTGCTGATAAGAACGCTATGGCTTGGCTTGACCAGATTGTTTATGACAAATAAAATAAATAACTAAATAAATATGAGAACTTATAGTCAGATGCTTATAACCCAGTCAAACTGGGGTGGATTTTCACAGAGACGGTAAAATGCACATCCCTGTTACCACAGGGTAACTTCCTTACAAAACATCGAGTTCCTGCTCCAAAAAACTGAGGTTCTAGAGCATCTCAATGAAATGGCAGTGAACAATTTTTTTTCAAGAATACAAGCAAAGTATTTTTTCCTAACCTTGTTCTCAGAAACTGCTCGATTATTTGACATTTTAAATCAATCAATAAATAAAAAATAAGCCTGAGACAGACACCCAGCATGGAAAATTACAGCCCAAATAGTTAAGACTTTGGCAAAATTATAAGCAGTGAAAAGACAACCTTCTAACAGAAAATGACCCATAATGACCCTACACTGTACATATCACAAGCTTCAGGTCTTGTTTTCCTCATTGTTGCAGAGTGGCTACATATCTAGGTTCAGTCACAGGAAGTAGATGCTATTGCTTATGGTCCTAAGTCATGTAGTGCTTTTGAAAATCTCACCCTCTATGTATTTTATATTAAGAACAGCAGAAGCTAGTCTTGGCGACCATGTAAAAGGCAATCTCAAACATCCAGGCCAACAGTCCCTGGGAAGCAAAATTTAAAAAGACAACTTCTTCAGTTTTTTCCCCACAGAAAATAAACCACTCTTCAAACAGATTATATTGCATAAGGCAACAATAAAATTATAGCCACTGCTGCCAGATTAAAAAAAGGAGGAAAAGTACACAAGTGTACAATAGCCTTAACATTTTGGGTATACAGCATCCCTCTTCCATTACTACCCCCAAACTTGAGTGCTGTCTGACCAAACAGGTAGTTTTTCAACACATAACAAAAGATCAAATCAAGCCCTGTATTGCTGCATGTAGCTCACTCTACTCTCCATTAAACTGATGAATCGTGTCACTACTGTACAATGACGCAGTTGATTTAACATATGCAAATCAAACTGACACTAGTTTTGTTACAGTTTTATAAGAATACTGCAGCTCACACGCTGGAATGAAACATTCTCCTTTTGCATGCTCATTTGAGAATTGAGAACAGCAATAAATGTAAGGTACAACTGCCTCTTAAAATTGGTTTAAACATAGGACACATTTATAGCAATAAAGACCCATTAATGTTATGTGCAACTTCAAGCAAACAGACAGAGAGAAGTAAAGATTTGGTTACAAAACAAATGGATCCTTGCTATTATATATATATACACACACACACACACACACACACACACACACACACACACACACTTTAAAATATATACTTACAATTATCCTCCATATCCTTTTTACTGTCCTCTTCTGCAGGAAACACTTGGTTGATAACAGCCAGAAAAGTCTGTCAGATAAAAACATTGATATTCTCAGAATTTCAACTGTAGATGGGAAAGTGGCTCTAAGATGTTCTGAGCTATGTTTTCAATAAATGTATTATTTGTGTTAAGAAAAGTGAAAATTTGCCATTTCTATATTTTACTGTGGCAGGTTTTAGTGTGTTCACCCAACCACCGCAACAATTTACTTCTACTGCAGTTGCTCCTAAGGACACTGATCAAGGATTTGGGCCTCATCATAATAGGTATTGTATAAACAAAGATACACCCCTGATCAAGAGCATTTATCATTCTCGTATTTAGACAAATGGAGAGATGCTAATGGTAAAGATAGCTGCACTACAGCAACCATTGTGGTCTCAACTGTACTACTGCTACTAATACTTGGGGATCTATGAATGAAAAATGCTAAGTGCTTTAAAGATAAGCACTATCCCCACATATTTAGATACTTCAGTGATGGGTATTATAGAAAACAGTAACACAGTTATATGTATTTTATTCAAAAGGAAACACATTCAAAAAAGATGGGACTTGTTCAGAGTTACACAGCAAGTCAATAGCAGCTCTAGGGAATAAGATCCAAGTCTCCCGATTCCTAGGATAGTACCCTCAATCATGCTTCAGTACTCCTATCCCATTTAAATACATTCCCATTTTAAAATACAGTACATTAGCTATATAAATAGTAACACACAGTATATTCCCAAACACTGAATTTTGATTTTACAAGCACTTCCTTTAATCCTTTATTTCAGTTACACAAGAAAACCACTTACCCGGTGTTCATCACTCACTGGAACAAATTTGTAACAAGAGCAAACTTGTCTCTTTAATACTCCAGAAATTGTAATTTATATTGTTTTAAAAAAGGAAAGAGAAACATGCAAGAACAGATCTATCAGAGTGTCCACAGTGTACAAACATGCTATTGCATTTTTTAACCAATTACACACTTTTGTTCGGACATTTTATCTGAGTCTATACAGCATGCACAGGTTATTTGCATTAGAGAATTGTAGCTATCTATGAATGAACCTTGTTGTATCAATTAATGTTACAGCTCCTATGCTGCTACAAAGATAATTTCCATGAGGATAAGGGGATTAAGGCAGTGAGATTAGTCTACTTTATCTAAAATGGCAAAAGACAAGCAACAAGATCTTTGTCTAGCATAAATAATGATCTTAACATTTTAAGCAAGTTTGTCTATTTAAAACTTTGCTCAGTGAGACACCCTCATGATAAACATCCTGTTTTCTGTCGCAGTCTAAAACACCCTCTTACTTCGATACAATAGAAATAATACAATGTAGGTCACCCAATCTAAAATTTCACACAGCATTAAGCAGCCACAATTCCACTTCATTTTGAAGTGGCAGGTTTCTTAAATTGAAGTATTAAAGTATCTATAAACTAAGTGTCGCCAGTTGGAAAACAGTAAAAAGGCTTCCACGATTTCCTTCCCTGGTATAGGAGACTCTTCATGGGTCATACACTTCTTGTCCTGACACTCCCGTTTTTTTCCTCCTACCTCTCATTAGTGTTATGTGCCAAAACATCCTAAAGGAGGGGCTACACATTGCCTTGGAGATGGTCAGAATCTAGATTAGCCAGACCTCCTCGGGAAATCTATATAGCTGCTAGATACAAATGTTGTTCAGTGAAGCATGTTGCAGCCATGGAGAGCCCTTTCATAGGTAACACATGGGGGGGGGGGGGAAAAAAGGGACAAGGGGCCCCCCCCCCCCCCCCCCCCCCCGATTTCTGCTTGGCCTGCTAGGGGGGGAATAGGGGCTCTCCCTCTGCCTAGCATGCTCAGCCCCTTTCCCTGGCAGCCAGGCCAGGAGCAGAAGGGGCAGGACCAGCCACTTCTCATGCTGGCCACTCTGCCTGAGAGAGCCTGGCTGAGGCAGCAACAGCAGGCCAACCCCTTCCCAGACCCATCTGCTGGGGACAGGGGCCAAGTGAGCCGGAGTCCACCTTCTCTCCCAGCATGTTTCCTTTCAGTCTGCTTGAAGCTTGGGGGCAAAACCAGTCCTGTCAGTCACTGGTAGCAGAGAACTACTCAGCCTCCTGAAATTCCCCCCAGTCAGAAAAAATTCAAATCTACTTTCCTAAATTACAGATGTTAAATATACTTTGAAGGAAAAGCACAACAATTTCTCCTACTGAGAGCATGGTAAATCCCACGTAACAAAACAAAACAAAAAAACCGAAAATAACAAAACCCACAAATCCTTAAGTGTCAATTTCCATCTCTATCCTGGATGATCTATTTGTCTCCAGGGTAGGACAGATCTGAGGACCTTATTCCCCAAAGAAAGGAAGTCTTCCTGTTTCTCTTCATGCTAAGGTCCACAGATCTATTACAATGGAGCTTTCATAGCAGTGTGCCTCCAGGATGGGAAGCAGGATCATCCTTTAAATGTGGAAAACCAAAACAAGGTAAATATCCTGTACAAATACCTCCTCCACCAAACCATGTGCACTAAGGCATGGATAAGACTTCTGTCAAAAAAAGGAAATGGCATTGGCTAGGATTGAATGACCAATATGCAGAATTTGGTGAACTTCTGCTTTATTGGCCATCTAGCAGGTTTCTATATTGGAGATATGACAACACTGCCCTGAGATTTTCACTGCTCCTAAGTGCTGGACTATGATACTTAACCAAAGGAGAATAGTCTTGAATGTACTTAGGAAATGAATGCTGTGACAATTGTGAGGACTGAATTAAAGGTATAATATTGGGTCCTGTTAGAGGAAGCTTCCAACTTCAAATAAAAAAAATTGTCTGATTGGAGATAGTAGCCATTTGAAATCCTACTCTAATGGATAGGAATGTAACAACACCTCCTGCAGAGGTTCATTCTGGGTAGTGCTCTGAAGAGCAGAATGAGGTTCCAAGGTCATGCTCTATGGCCTTGCAGGGCTGGAATAAAAGCAATGCCCTAAGGAAGCATTTAATGTTGAGATTTGTATAAAACTTCCTTTTCATTAACATTTTAAGAACATTATGCTACAGAGACTTGACCTTTTTGCTTCAACATTCATACACCCACAACATAGCCTTCCAGTAGGAACTCAAGGTTGCATACACAAATGCAAGAAGCCTGGGAAACAAGCAGGGAGAACTGGAAGTCCTGGCACAGTCAGGGAACTATGATGCGATTGGAATAACAGAGACTTGGTGGGATAACTCACATGACTGGAGTACTGTCATGGATGGATATAAACTGTTCAGGAAGGACAGGCAGGGCAGAAAAGGTGGAGGAGTTGCGTTGTATGTAAGAGAGGAGTATGACTGCTCAGAGCTCCGGTATGAAACTGCAGAAAAACCTGAGAGTCTCTGGATAAAGTTGAGAAGTGTGAGCAACAAGGGTGATGCCGTGGTCGGAGTCTGCTATAGACCACCAGACCAAGGGGATGAGGTGGACGAGGCTTTCTTCCGGCAACTAACAGAAGTTGCTAGATCGCAGGCCCTGGTTCTCATGGGAGACTTTAATCACCCTGATATCTGCTGGGACAGCAATACAGGGGTGCAGACAATCCAGGAAGCTTTTGGAAAGTGTAGGGGACAATTTCCTGGTGCAAGTGCTGGAGGAACCAACTAGGGGCAGAGTTTTTCTTGACCTGCTGCTCACAAACAGGGAAGAATTAGTAGGGGAAGCAAGAGTGGATGGGAACCTGGGAGGCAGTGACCATGAGATGGTCGAGTTCAGGATCCTGACACAAGGAAGAAAGGAGAGCAGCAGAATATGGACCCTGGACTTCAGAAAAGCAGACTGACTCCCTCAGGGCAGGATCCCCTGGGAGAACAACATGAAGGGCAAAGGGGTCGAGGAGAGCTGGCTGTATTTTAAAGAATCCTTATTGCGGTTGCAGGAACAAACCATCCCGATGTGTAGAAAGAATAGTAAATATGGCAGGCGACCAGCTTGGCTTAACAGTGAAATCCTTGCTGACCTTAAATGCAAAAAAGAAGCTTACAAGAAGTGGAAGATTGGACAAATGACCAGGGAGGAGTATAAAAATATCGCTCAGGCATGCAAGAGTGAAATCAGGAAGGCCAAATCGCACTTGGAGTTGCAGCTAGCAAGAGATGTTAAGAGTAACAAGAAGGGTTTCTTCAGGTATGTTAGCAACAAGAAGAAAGTCAAGGAAAGTGTGGGCCCCTTACTGAATGAGGGAGGCAACCTAGTGACAGAGGATGTGGAAAAAGCTAATGTACTCAATGCTTTTTTTGCCTCTGTCTTCACAAACAAGGTCAGCTCCCAGACTGCTGGACTGGGCAGCACAGTATGGGGAGGAGGTGACCAGCCCTCCGTGGAGAAAGAAGTGGTTCGGGACTATTTAGAAAAACTGGATGAGCACAAATCAATGGGGCCGGATGCACTGCATCTGAGGGTGCTAAAGGAGTTGGCGGATGTGATTGCGGAACCATTGGCCCTCATCTTTGAAAACTCATGGCGATCGGGGGAGGTCCTGGATGACTGGAAAAAGGCTAATGTAGTGCCCATCTTTAAAAAAGGGAAGGAGGAGGATCCGGGGAACTACAGGCCAGTCGGCCTCACCTCAGTCCCTGGAAAAATCATGGAGCAGGTCCTCAAGGAATCAATTATGAAACACTTAGAGGATCAGGAACAGTCAGCATGGATTCACCAAGGGGAAGTCGTACCTGACTAACCTAATTGCCTTCTATGATGAGATAACTGGCTCTGTTGATGAGGGGAAAGCAGTGGATGTGTTATTCCTTGACTTTAGCAAAGCTTTTGATACGGTCTCCCACAGTATTCTTGCCGCCAAGTTAAAGTAGTATGGGCTGGATGAATGGACTGTAAGGTGGATAGAAAGCTGGCTAGATCATCGGGCTCAACGGGTAGTGATCAATGGCTCCATGTCTAGTTGGCAGCCGGTTTCAAGCGGAGTGCCCCAAGGGTCGGTCCTGGGGCCGGTTTTGTTTAATATCTTTATTAATGATCTGGAGGGTGGTGTGGACTGC